AAAGACATAGGCGGGTGGATCCAGGAGGTGGATGGGAGGGTTGAGGTGGATTTGGACAAGGCCGACGAGGCGACTCTTGACAAGCTCGAGTGGCTGCTCGCTCTCGCCACCATGAGGAAGGTAATTATTTTGTCCATTTGAAGTCCTTATGTTTCTGATTTGGGCAGCATAATTTTGCGATGCTTGGTAGCAATCTTGTCCAAAGCGGCCATATTTATTGCAATGCTGTTTAGCGATCTTGTCCAAACGTGCTCGCGTAGGCCGTGTTAAAGATGGAAACCTATTTTTGATGATATAATAAGAAGTCCAGGGTGTCAGGTTGTACCAACGTGAAGAAAATCCCATTTTTGGGACAGAAAGGTGCATATTTTCGTCATATTGGAATTGGTAGTGATATTGTCACAATGCCTTTCTGGTAGGGTGAATTGCATTGTTGATACAAGAAGTTTTGTCCAAGAAGTTTAGTTTCATACATCAAGTAGTATCAAATTTCTTGGGTACATGATGCTGCATAAATGGTACTCCCTCTGTAAAGGGAGTACGAAATCCTTGTGTCATGCATCTATGTTTTGGATCTTGTTAGTGTGTCCTGTAGCATGGTAGTATAAGCTTGCTGCCTGACAATTAGTAGGTTGTTTTGTCTGGAGAGGGAATTGAATGCTGAGGGATGATGAGAATTTCATTTTCATTGAAGTATGATGATTTCAGTTTTCAACCATAGTCACTGGGACCTGAAGGTACACATCAGAGAGCTCCCAAATATACTTGGATTAGAATAAAATTGTTATCTGACTTGAGAATAAAGAGCTTCATTGCTGGGTCATTGACCTGGATTAACCGGCTTTGCAACCACATCCCAAAGAACACTAAGTCTCTAATAATCTCATCAACTTCCAATGGTTGTACATTTTGAAAGGAGGGAGCTTTTGACATAATGCTTCACTTCAAAATACTAATATTGCTGATTATAGTCTGTTACATTTTAAACTGAGAGTTTGTGGATGTCTAGCTTGTTACTCACTTGTGTTTTGAGTAGTCATGATCACTACTCTAGTTGATTTGGCATTTTGAGGCTTGAAGATCTGCTTCTTTTTTTTACGCACTGATGGAAAGGAATCTACCACAAATACTACTCCATCCGATCCAAAGTAAGTGTCGTGGTTTTAGTTCAGAACTAAAACCTGAACTAAAACCACGACACTTATTTTGGATCGGGGGAGTAGTTTGTAGTCATACTATTCATGGGGAGTTGCTCCATGTCTGCTACTCGCATTTACAACTGCTGTTAGGATGGTTTGAAGCATCAATCATAGTAATTTTGTATTCCTTGAGATTGTGAATCTTATGCCTAGATTTCTTTGTTCTCCTTCTTTTGTGAAGTGTTTTCCTGATAGTTGACACTTTTGACATGATCATATCTTTCCTTCTAGTTGTAATGTTTTCCTGGACATCATGCCTACAACTATTGCTAGGATGTTTTGAAAGAGTATAAATGCTGACACTTTTGACATGATCATATCTAATATTTTGCTTTGCCTTGGATCACGATGTTGCCCTTTTTGGTTGCAGGAGGCAGGAGCGCTGGATAATCAAATTTGATGTGGCACTGCATGATTTTACCAGCGTCAATTGTTTCTCGGTTCCAGAACGCTGTTGACTTAAACATCGCTTCCCTCTTTTGCGAATGAGTATCAGCATGATTTCTAAGTGGCTGTAACATCGCTAGCCTAGATATCCCTACTCTGGATTTGTATGAATACCCCAGTGTCAGTGTGGTTGTAATTTGGGGGTTTGTAGCTGGTCGGTTATTCTGTCTGTTGTTATATTGGAATTAGACTTTGAACCTGTGATGATACTGAAGAACTGCAAGGATGTGTGGAAGTCATGTTGTTCGATTGTTCATTAAATATATGATTTCGTGGGTGGATTTTCTGCCATGAATTGCACTGCTCAAAAGATTTGTGGCAATGCAATTGAAGGAAAAAATGTAACATGGACCACCGGACCGTAACTTCACAAAATCATGCTGATACCCTCGGTGGCTCCGTTGGATGTTCTTGTTGTCTGGATGGAGCAGAGCTGTTCGTGTACAAGTTCTTGAATTTGCAGAGCTCGGTTCTTCCGCACTTGAATCTGTTTCGTGTTCTTGCGTTCCGAGTATGTCCTCGGCTAACCTCTGGAAGGTGAAGGTACCCTCGAAGCTGAAAGTATTCTGATGGAGGTTGGCACAACACTCTTTACCTGCGGGAGATGTTGTAGCTCACAGGCATATAGCGGAGAGCAGCAGATGCAAAATTTATGGTGCAATGGAGTCCTGGAGACACTCCCATATCAGTTGCACGATGGCAACGTGCGTCTGGGCTTTGGGAAATGAGCTGATCGCCGAGCACCTAGCTAAGACGACTGAGCCATCGACGAGAAAGTGGTTGTTCGCCCTCATGGATCCGATTAAACACAAGGAATTCAAGACGACGGTAGTGACAAAGTGGGCAATTTGACATGATCGGAGAAAGGCAATACATAAGGAAGTTTATGAGAGCCCACTCTCCGCACATGCTTTTATGTACAATTTTTTGTTGAATGTGGGGCTATCTAAGAAACGTACAAATCGATATATCCTGGTAGCGAGATGGACGTCGCTCCCGACGGATAGTCTAAAGATAGATGTTGACGCGGCGTTGTCCAAGACCAAGCACTCAAACTCATCAGCGGCAATAATTCGGGATGGCAACGAGGCGTTCCTTGATGCTTCAATGGTCGTTCATGAAGGGATTGCTCATCCGGTGATACTCGAGGCCCTTTCGTGTCGAAAGGGCTAGCACTGGCCGCTGACCTGGGAATGAAGAGATTCGTCCTAAGCTCTAACTATGATGAAGCGGTTAGAGCGATGAATGAAGGAAGCATGGAGATCTTCGGTCACGTGGTTCGTGAGATCAAGCAAATGACGAGAAGCTTCAGATCCGTGATTTTTCAGTATGAAAAAAGAAGATCAAATGTTGACGTCCTATATCTTGCAAAGAGTGCAATGTGCAGCATGTATAATACACAGTGGCGGATTCAGAACCCAGGCCGAGGGGCCTGGGCCTGGGGCGTGATGATGGATTACTTCGTTGACTATAGCATTACGCACTGTAGCGACACTATAGAGGCATTGTAGCAGCTTGGGGCCATGGGCTTGGCCCAATCCCGGGTCCGCCCGTGATGGTACGGCCAGCCGCCAGCCGACATCGACATTTCATATAATTTCCATTAGCTAATGTAAGCTGTTCTAAAAGAAAGTATAAAGGATCTCATGTTATTTGGCTCGACTCATCAGTCATCGAGTTCGGCTCGATTCGAGCCGAGTCATGAGCTACTCGTTTAGCTTCGGCTTTCGAAATTTAATTCCAGCATATAAGAGTAGGAAAACCCTTCCTATCTATAGTCTGACAGGAACTATGCACTAGACCTCTCGTTCACCGTTGACTCGGCTTTAATCCCACGGCCGAAATGTCTGAGTGAAATCCTTCACCTCGTTCTAACCTCCTATTTTATGTAGTCATGTTTGCCTAAACCCGCCAATTCCTCTTGTCTGTTTCTCTCCTTTAACTAATCCTCAATCCCGTTCATCTCTCTTTGGATTGCAGCCCACCTCATTGCCATGCCCACTGTTCACTTGCGTTGCACATGTTCTCTCCAACAACGTAACTCAGATTAAGTCCATTGCATCTCGTGGTTGCAATCCACCTCACCATGTCGCCCAGATTTGATCCCCTCCACTCTTCCTCGATGCGGCTATGGTGCCAACGAGATTGTGCTTCCTTGACATTATCCAGTGATCCACCTCCAACACCACATACCATGTTCGCCAGTGCTACCCCAACACCATCGCAAACGTAGGCAGTCGCGGTCCCTTCACCATGGGAAGATCGGAACATCGACGACGTCGGGGATGATGACCGCAACAGGG